TTTGACACCATGCAAAACATCTAATGACTAAGTTGTACTCACATTTTTATTGTTGTTCCTTGATTTTGGAAAAGATGCCTTTCGAGGCTTAGCCCTAAGGGGCGGTTATAATTTTTATTCTACTTCGAACGAGATGGACCCTTAAGGTGGCCTTGATTCCTCAGTGAGAAACGAGGAATGAGGATGACGAGATGATTTGAATCCTTGAGACATTGATTTCTTCCTAAAGAGCGCATCCCCGAGACAAGGGGCACGAGTTTCTTAAGTGTAACTATAAGGGATTCTCTCGTGGGAGTCACATCATTTAATATTTTAAAATTGTGTACTTTTTTTTCCCTATGTGTCTTTTCACCGTTTGAGGATTCCTTTGCAACTAGATTTCCTGGGGTTTGTTAACCTAAAAGTTCAGGTCTAATAATGATTCTTCTATTGTTATTTGGATTCTTATGCAATTACTTTGTGGTATTTTCTTTTCATGTCGTCTTGACTAAATAATTTTTTTACTAGAACGAGTCCCTCAAACATTGTTTAGGATGAGTCCCTCAAACGATGATTGAATTTCTCTTGGCAAGGATTCCTTTTTGAAAGTTTAGGGTATAATTGTCTCATATGGCAACAAAGATCCTTCAATAAAAACCCGATATTATGCTCCTGTAAGTTCGGTTGGTTCCTACACTAATACCCCAGTAGGGCTTTGAAAATGATGCCTTTAATTTGACATTCTAGAATCAAATGATCTTGTGACATTCTGAATTACATTGAGGCCACTTAATAGCTTTGAACTCAACTAGCATATAGAGTACTGAACTCCACTTGATTGTGCATATTAATGACAACTACAGAAAATTGCAAAGTATTATGTATCAAAATAGCTCTACTTAATAGCAAAGTAAACGTCAACAACATAACAGAGAGCCTATCTATGAAAACAACTAGATAAAAAATAGTATACTAGTGGAAAAATCTGCTTACATTCTTCCAAACACGAATTATGTATACAAATTATGTCCAAATAGTTTCACCATTCGGATGTTATATTTATCAAAACCCAGCTTCATGCCTTCATAATAATTAAGCCTTTCAATAGATTGACCAACAATCCAAAACATAAGCACAAAGGAGACAAAAGCAACAAGAGAAATTATTGAAGTATGATAATATTATTGTGGTTTCGAAGTGTAATTCTAGCTAAAATATTTCAATGATGAAAAAGTTCCACAGCTAGAAATATATTACACAGGTGAAATTTTACTTAAATTCGGTTCTTCATTTTGAATCTTTAAAGACATATAGTACAGAAAGATAATATACTTTAATTCAAATGGGAAATTGGAAGAATAAGTAAGAAGGAAACATGAAGAGTAGAATTTAACAAATTTATGGAATGAAAGAACTAAATTTAAAGTTCAGGTTTCAAACTCATTAAATATAAAAACAACAATTCACTTACAGTACTTGAATGGTAGCTACTATTCCAAGTAAAGACAGAATAACTCTGCCAAGGCTGTTTCTACTTAGATTCAGAATTTGTAGATATAGAATATTCACCCTACCCTAAAAAGCACATACTCCGACACAGACACTCGGACACGACACAGATACGAACTCTTGATACAACTTTAACCTTTTAAGATGTGTGTGAGATTTGTTCTAGACTACACAAAGTGTGTAAAGCAAAGAAAAAACATTTTATGATGAAACAATTGTCCTATATATGTTGTATGAATGTCATACAAAGAGTGTCCAATTAATGAAAAAATCATTTTAATGAGGGATACTTGTCTGACATTTCCATCTTTTGTTTGACTTTTCTGACACACGTTCTACGAGTATCAGACATCGACGTGTGTTAGACCTTACAACACTCCTACTCTTATAGGTGTCAGTGCTTCATAGTTTTCATCTCTTTTGTTGATGTTTTAACATTAGTATCTTAAGAGTGTCAAGATATTTTGAGCTAATGATATGCGCCTTAATGAAGTGCGAGCGAGCATTCACATCCTTGCGCACCACCCTATCAACATTGTCAATCCTATCTTAGTCAGTATTTAGGGAGGTTGTATTCCTTTATTTAGGTGTCTCTATTGAAGCAGTTAGTGTCATCTTCATAAGAGAGGTGAATTTCTCTCAGAGTGTAGTGTAATTAATATCTAAAGCCTTAGCCGAACTCGAAAGACATTATCAAAAAACAAAGAAGGTATCATTGCCTTTCAATATCGCATTTAGAGAGTTGTGGAATAACATTTTAGCACACATCATTGGTGTCATCATTGATCAGGCGCTGAAGTAGTTGTTCCACCTACCCGGTTTGGTTGAGCGAATAACCAAGTAGTTCATCGAAATGTCCAAATTTGACATCTATTTTGAGCCAATAACACCCAGAGTACGAAGTTGTTCGCATATTTCATAGCAGAAATGACTCTCAGGAACATCAAAGCCAACTAGTAAATGGGTCGTGTTCATAGATAGTTCATTCAACACTCGAGGAAGTGGGTATTGCATAATATTAGGTAATAAATCTGACCTGGTGACCAAAGTATCCCTACATTTTGAATTCTCCACTATCAACAACCAGGTCGAATATGAAGCTTTCATCATTGGTCTCACACTGGTTATCGAGACAGGGGAAGAAAACATTAAGTTGCAAACGTACTTCCAGGTGGTATTGTCACAGGTCAAAAGAGATGCTCAAAGCAAAGATCTTTTGTTGGAGCGATAAGTAACATTGACAAGAGAAAACTTGGGAAATTAAAATCTTATGAAATCTTGCACGTTCCAAGAGAGCACAATACCATAGTAGATGTTATTTCTAATCTCACCAACACCACAGCCTCACGGTTAACCATTTCTTAATCCCAAAAAATTTGAGGAGCTCGGGCATTAAAGCTCTTACAATGACAATGGTAATCGCATAAGACACTTCACCACCTTCATGGATCTCACCCAGTGAAATATACATTTGAGCAAGGAACACTTCCCATCGATCCAGCAATGACCTCAATAGTAAAAAGAAGATCCATATCATTCTTCGTAGAGTAAGGAACTTTCTGCAAAAGAGGTTAGTCGATCCCTATATTAAAGTTCTTCGAAGGAGAAGAAGCCACATGCACCCTCGCCTAGGTGCACAAAGGGATAACCGAGCAACATTTGGGAGCCAATGGACTAGCTATAAAATTTCTCAGGGCCATGTATTACTTTATAAAATGAGTCGAAGCATAGACTATGGAGAAGATCACCACGACCAACATTTTAAAGTTCTTTAAAAGAAATATCTTAGCAAGGTATGAAATCCCTCAAACTATCGTGACAGAAAATGTGATATAATTCATAGATAAAAACTTAAAGAAGTTACTAGAGGATCTGAAAGTCAAGCACACTTCACGCCAGTTAAACAAGCTTAGACGAGCGGGCGAGAAAAAGTGGAAATTCAGGTTCTATTGAGAGGATTGAAAATAAGACTTGAAACAGCTAAAGGAAAGTGGGTAGAAGAGCTTCCACATGTTCTATGGGCATACACGATCAAGGAAAGCACAAGAAATGAAGCTTACACTCTAAAGACTCTACTTGGATAATGAATCCCGAGTACGTGGAATTCCGCCAAGCTCAAGCATTATTTTAGCTAACCTTTCCTATAACGGTCTAAACAGAAATTGAAAATAATTACCTAATGTAATACTTTTATATAAATAAAAGCTACATTTTATTTGGATTGTACGATTATCTTTCCCAAGAGAAAAATAAGATATGAGATAAAAAAAGTACATGAAGTCGCAACTAGAACAACCTCTTCTTGGTAGCTAGCCACTGCATAGTGCAAGCATTCTAGCCATGGTCACGTCGGCCTTGAACCAGTTTTTCACTTGGGGGAAGAGAATGGGACTTGACTCTTATTTGGGCATGATCCCCAAAGACATCAAATCACACCCCGGCTTACACCCAGGGCACGAGCATGATGAAATAAAATTATTAAAGACTATATGTTCAGACAAAATCATAAAATAACACATGAAAACATAAAATCATGAAAGATTATATGTTAAAATAAAATCATAGAAAAACATATGACGAAATAAAATTATGAAAGGTTACATGATGAAATAGAATCATGATGAATTATATAATGAAATAATATCATAAAAGGTGACATAACGAAATAAAATCATGGAAGACTATGAAACGAGTAAATGCGTGCAAAGCTAAATAATGAGAAAGATAGTCAAACTAAATAATGAAGAAACAAGTTCATTAAAGATAAAGTTATGATGTATTTGACAAAATATTATTAAAATTGTCGGAGCAGGCTAAAAATTAAAATCATTGGTAAAAAAGCCACAAGGCATATTCATCATCAATTACTAACTCCCTATCCTTACCTCCCTTATCAATGTTCTGTGAATCCCGAGCGATCTTTAGGCCAAGACAGAACAATTCAACCTAGTCAAGGGCATTTTGAAAGGTAGCATAGACATCGTTGATGTGATCATTGACGGAGGGTTCAAACTCATTTTTCACCTCATCTAGGCTACCTTCATGTTCCTTCATCTCCTCAATTGATATTTAATTTCTTTTGAAGGGTTTCATCAAACTCCTTGACCTTGGAGGTCAATGCCTCTATGTCTGTCTCAGATTTATTTAAAGAAGTCAAGACCTCTCCAAGGGTTTTATAATTCTCTACCAAGACCCGCTTTCTTCTAAGCCAATGATTACTTTAGGAAAGATATTGTTGAGGCGACCTCAAAAGGGACTCCACGAGTCTTTATTGCTTTGTCTAGACCAACAAGTTTTTATTAAAGTTTGTTCCATTCATGAATAGAGAGATCACATTGGCCTTTCAAAAGCTCTTTATCCATCCATAAAGGGGTTAACAAGTGGAAAGACATCACCATGACAGCAGTCGTCAAGGATAGAAAATAAGCACCCTAATACACGTTGAAGGTCGTTTAGCCATTAAATCAAACTTAGTTATATCAGTGAGGTTCCAAATGTAGGCATAGTCCCATTCAGGTATGTAATACTACACCTCTTTCGCATATCGGGGCCTTGTGATAGAAATACATATGTGATTTTAAAATATGGGAGATCAGATGGGTCATCACCCAGATTGGCACATTTAGAGGCATACCTTGATGATTGGGGTCTCTTAGAAATAATTTTCTCCACATCTTGAACTTTGCCACAATTATTCCTAGTAGTCTCACTGGCATCATATAAGGATCAATTTTGATGCTTCTTGATTCGGCCTTCAGATGATAGGTGCCTTGGTTTTCTCCTATTTTCACATAAGATCTAAGATGTTTGCAACTGACCTATAAACAAAGTCTTGGTCTCTTTTGGGGTCACCTCCATTTCATTTGGGGACGTAGTAAGAGTCGGAGATGGAGATAAAGCAACTTTCTCAATTGAGTGGGCCTTCTTCCTCTTTAAGATATTTCCAAGCATGCCCATGTTTTTTGCAAAACGAAATAAGAAGATAGTAAAGAAAAATATTTTGAGATTAATAAAGGAAAACTTTAATATTTTTTTAAATGGAGGTTGTATGCTTCCACAATCAAACATGTATTGATATATCAATGTTTCTACTACGGAAGCGGTACGTCCGAATGGATAACTCCTTCTTCATAACCCAAACTATGTTAAAAGGAGAATCAGTCATCCTTCATAGACTTTTTGTATGGGGTCAAAGAGTCAGAGGAAAAGGCATGTGTTCTTGTGGCAGGAAAGAAATGTTTTGGAGACCAAAATTTTGAATCTTGTCTTTACATTTAATCATTTTTGAACAAGAGGGATAAATAAGGAAGGTTTTCCTTCTATAAGGATTCAAAAAGAAAAGTAAGCCTCTTTATTCAATGGGGTCACTAAAAAATCATCACGTATCTCTAACTATCAAAATAGACGTCAAACATCCTCAATGGCTGACAGTGTGAGATCAGCCATTGTCCCTTGTATCCTTTGGTTGAAGTATGAGTCACATTTAAGATATGAAGAAATAACTTATAGGTCGATGATTTCCCCCAATACTCAAACCAATATTGGAACATTTTGATTGATCCCTAAGCCACTAGATGTAATTGAGAGGGGGCAATTCTCAAGTGGTTCAACACCCCTTCCTTGATGTCGATGAATGTAAACTTGAATCATGTCCTATAAAACAAGCATTCAAATAAAGGTACAAATCACCCTTCAAAGGAAATACATATGCGTTTTCCATGATTGACATGGGAAACAAACCAATTATAGGATCTCATATATTTGTAAGCATCTTCAATTTGTTTAGCGTTGTTGAGAAGGAAATTGTCCCAATGACTCAGCCTCCACCAAATGGTAATTAGGGATGTCAACAGGGAAAAGAATGTTCAGAGGATTATTTCTCACTCCCCGACCCACCCCCAATGTTATTCCCTATTCCCAATCCCCACCACGGGGAAATATTTTCCCCCATCCCCACAGATCTCCAAGGAAATCCACAGAGATCGAATCTTAAAAAAAATTATAAACTTTTCGATCTAAACTATGACACTAGTATTTCATTATTTTCTCATTTTTTAAAAACATATATTTTGCCTCTTTCTTTTTTTAAAATCAAAATACTTCTTGCATCAATAAGGAAGAAAAAAAGCAAAAACACTTGTTGTTGCTACTATTTTTTCTGTAAAAAATAATAATAAATATTAACAGAACTTGTTTCTACCATGATTCTGCTAATTTACTACCACAATATCATTGTCATCTAGCGCAGCTGGTTGATTATGTATGGGTATGGAAAATCCATAACTACTAATTTATTAATTGATTGGAAAACATGTTACTAATGGAAGTAAAATGAGTTTGAAGAGTAATTACCATACACACAATGAACAAATGAGAGTGGTTGTTGTGATGATGATCAAAATATAGGAGATGGTTAATGGAGGAGACAAAGATGATTGAGAAAAGAAAAGGATGAGATGTGTGTATATTTTATGTATTGGGTGTGCTTTTCTAGGGTTGGTTATTTGGGTAGTGAAATAATACATTATACAATAAAACATAAAAATAAAATGATTCACTAATGACTCTTAATTTTAAAATACATTCATATTTTTTTATGTAAAATTATATAATTATATATTATATAATATATATATAATATAGAAGTTAAATAATATAGTCGGAGTTGGGGAATCCACTGGGCAGATGGTACTTTCCCGATCTCCACCCCAAAGTGTCATTGGGGGAACTTTACCCTCCATCCCCGCCCCACCGAGGAAACAAATCCCCAACATTGGTTCTCCGAACGGATAATCCCCACAGGAATCCTCATTAACCAATACAAATTGACATCCCTAAAGGTAATGAACAACATCAGTAGGCATGACGAGACCTTGACGCTTCTTTTAAACCATGTCTTCCCAACTTCCGTGAAAAAGATAATGCATGTCATGAATGAAAGGATAGTTTTAAAAGTCGAGGTGACCCTTACCGTCCTTAATACTAGCCTCTCGACCATTTAAAGATCTAGAATTAATAAAGAGACCAGTTCATGGTTCATCCTAGTGGGCCTTAACAAGCTCAATAGAAGAATGGTGAACATTAGTGTCCCTAATAATATAGTCAGCATAACCATTTGTATTGCCATCGGGATGGGAAATTAAGGATTCTTTGCCATCTTAAATAGAACCCCCTCCAAAGTGATAAGTGCAAATTGTAGTTATTTTCGTACATAATTTTTATTGCACTTATCTATACTTTTTCTTAATATCTTTTGAATAAACCTCACTTTATTTGTAAATACATTTAATTTGTGTATAATTGTGTTTTTGTGTAATTATTGTATCGTTTGATAATTTTATGTCTTTTTTAGGTATTTATTTCATATTTGGAGCATTGAGCAATAAATTCTCAAAGGAACGACTTCAAATACAAGTTTTTGGAAGAAAACAATTTTGGAGCTCACTTAGCGCATGTTGTAGTGTGCTACCAGAAGTTTTAAGCAAAATGGCAGAGGCTGTTTTTTGAGCCCGTTTAGCCTGCTAAGTGGGTTGAGCCAGCTTAACAGGGTTAAGGCGGTTTAGTGTGTATTTTTCGTGGCAGCCTGCTTAGCGGGGTTAGCCCGCATAGCGGGGTTAGCTATTTTTAGTTTTGTATTTAGATTGTAAAATCACATTTTAAGGGTATGTTTTGGGTAATTTTTGCTCCCAATTCATCACCAATCATTCTTTGGTAGAGAAAGCTAGAAAACAACAATGGAGCTAGCATATAGATGATCTAGAGGCGAAGTTCTCATCAATCGGAGCTGACAACCCGTGAGATGTTTCGTTTTCCTTCATTTTTTCTCTATGTGTTTCTATATTTGTTGGGTTTTTTATACTCTTACTCTAAACATATGTATGTTTATCGCTCATGGAATTGTATAAAACTTGCTTTACAATTCAATCTTGATGCTTCCCTTGATTTTTTTGCATTAATGTTTGGATTTGTGTTATTTTAGAGATAGACCTGACAAATCTTGATTAAGGAAGGAAATCTATTAGTTTCTAGATTATAGAGATAGGTTTAGGTATAATAATCACTTGGGTATCAAAGCTTAATGCTTTTGTGTTGTTTGAGTTACACGAGACATCGCCGACCAAATTAATATGATTGTTCTTGCAACTTTGCATTAGACATAACCTTGGTTATGGTGAATCTCGTAGGTGTTGCAGAAATGGAAACTGATATGAGAGATACGTGATGATTTTTACGATTATTATAGGTTGAGTACAACCGATCGATAAGTTTAAGTTTGTGATGAGTAGTTTAAATTCACGCCTGATAAGTTTCTCCTCTCTAAAGAATGAATTTATTTTCTTATTAATATATTACGTTTCATACCTCAAACTCATTTAACTCAAGCTCAGAATTTCTGAAATTGTTGAATGACATTCTTTCCCTCGCACCGATCCTTGTGGATACGATAAAACTATGAATACTTCTAAGTTTTTTCCTGTCGCTTTACTGTGTCAACAAAATGGCGTTGTTGTCGGAGATAGGTGTTTTAAAATTGAATTACATCAAAATAGATTCTATGGTTTTGAGCTTTATATATATCGTATATATTATACATTTTCACTTGTATATTTTTATTTGTCTATATTTGTGTATATGTTTACATACTTGTATATTTGTGTTTATTTTCCACACTTGTTTATGTACTTGTTTTTGTTGTGTTCAAGTGTGTGTGTGTGTATATGTGTTATCTATCAATGTTGTTCAAGTGTTGTTGTAAATTTTCTTGTTTTCATAATGTATGTTCAAGTGTTTATTTAGGACACTTGTTTTTGGGTTGCTCGTTGAAGAAAAGCATCGGGTGATAAGAGGAAGTTACTAGCTAAGCACAATAACGACGTTGAGCTAACGATGTAAAACAAACGCTTATTGGGAGGCACCTAAATGGTTGTAAATTATGTATATTTTGTAGTTGAGTTAATGTAGGTGTTAGTGGAGTTGTGCATGAGAAGTTAGATGCATTTTTAATTTTTTTCATTTTTCTTCTACCACTAAGCACAGTGTGCATCCGCATTTCTGATTTGGCCTCTTTTTTACCACTTCTACCAATGATAGTTAGAATAGCAAATGGTAGCAATTTCTAATGTATTTGTGGGTTGTGTTTCGTCCAATTTGTTCCGTTAATTTGAAGATGCTAAGGTGATTTTCCAAGTTTGATCGTTTCAACTTGTGGATGTATGGTAATGATATTTTTGAAGTTGTTTCACACAAGGTACTCGTTTATCACTTTCAATAGCATAACAAGTTTAGGAAACTTATAATTTGTATAATTACCATGTCATTCATTCTTTTACATTACTTGCTTTTGATAGAATCACTTTATTTCTCAAACCCCAAATATGAGAAAGCTTTCCATTTGTTCATTTATGCAGGAGACCAATATTCTTGTTTTAACTAGATTTTATTTTGTTTAAAATTTTATTTGTGTTGATTGTATGAAAGCATGAAAGGATCAAGATATTTTGTTTCATTTTGAGCATAACCACCTAGCCAAATAGTCAATTTATCTTGTGAGTGAGCGAGAATTTGTAACCCTTTGGAGCCTTTTTGTCAATATCCATGTTGCATTTGAACTTAATGCTTGCCTATGAGTATTTAGTTCACTTATTTTGAATGGGTTTTGATATTTTATTTCTTGAGCCCTCGACCATGATTTATGGTTTGAATTTTTACCTTGCCTTAGAAGTAGTATGGAGTATTCACACTATGATGTTTGTTGAATTCAAGTTGGGGAGAAAATGATTGCTTGATTTTTTGTTGGTTTCTATGAGGTTGAGAAAAAAAAAACAAAAATTATGAAAAGAAAATAAAAGAAAAAGAAAGAAAAAAAATAAAAAAACTTTGAAAAATAAAAAAAAAATAGTAGCAAATAATTATGCTGAATAAGTTGTGTGATTGGTGTGATAAATTGAGAAAGGAGAAAAATTGTGATTGAAATTTTGGTACTTGGGACTTTGTGGATTGATCACTCCCTTAGAATTAGGTAAGTTTTTGTTTTAATTACCTTTAAAAATTGCCTCTTATTTATTAGT